ACAACATGATGGGCCAGAGGATATAAGCCTTTATGAAAATAGAGGACAAACAGTGTTATAATTTTTTTAAAAGATTTATTTATGCATACAGAACTGGGGTACAGGCCAGAGGTGCAGGGGTGGTGAGAGGGTTCACCAGAGACAGAGTGGGGAGCAGCATAGGACAACTGACAAGTACAATGCTGAGGGGAACAGCGGGTGGATCAGGAGAGGTCTGTTGTGCTATGTGGGTCACCTCCGCGGCGGGGATCCAACTTACACAGAAATGGCTTTAGCTTCTTAGTGCTGTGCTTTAACCCACTGTGCCACCAGGGAAGGCTCACAATGTGTGATTTATCCACATGTGGCATATCTATATGGAAGCAAAACAAATGAACCAAAGAAAACAAAAGTAAGTTTTCAGACTGTCAGACCAAATTAGTGGTTACAAGGAAAATGGGAGGGAGATGGAGGAATTAGGTTAGAGGGGTTGACTGTATGGTAAGGGATAAAATTGCATTTTTCATAGTAACAGTAAAGTTTGTGAAGACATTGATTTATAGTAATGTATTATGTACAGACATTGGTTTGTAATGATGCACACTTGAAATTTTATATTATAGCAATGTCACTTCAATAACAAAAATTTTTTTTAAATTATACAACACAAAACCATAATAATCAAGACTGCATGGAAGTGGAACAAGAACAGACATACAAACCAGTGGATTCGAATAGAAAACCAGATACAAACCCACAGGTATATGGGCAGCTAACCTTTGACAAAGGAGCAAAGAAGATACAATGGAACAAAGAAAGTTTGTTCAACAAATAGTGCTGGGAAACTGGGAAGCTACATGCAAAATGAAATTAGATCACTACTCACATCATACACAAAAATCAACTTGAAGTAGATTAAAGACCTATACATAAGAATGGAAACCATAAAATACCTGGAAGCAAAGATGAGCCAAACACTAAATGGCATATACTTCAGTAACATCTTTGAAGATATAGCATCTAGTGCAATGATAGTGAAGGCAAGGATAAGTGATGGGACTGCATCAAGTTTAAGAGCTTCTGTACAGCAAAAGAGACATTACAAAAAACAGACATCCCACTGATTGGGAAAAAAAATTGCTCACACAAAACTAGTGATAAAGGATTGATCACAAAGATATACAAAGAACTGATGAAACCCAACAAAAACAAATCCCATCAAATAATGGGCAGAAGAGCTACAAAGACACTTCTCCAAAGAGGAAATGCAGATGGCCAACAAGCATATGAAAAAATGGTCAACGTCACTTCTAATAAGGGAGATGCAAATTAAAACCACAGTGAGATACCACCTCACCCCAATGAGAATGGCACATCTTCAAACAACTAGCAACAACAAATGTTGGCGAGGTTGTGGAGAAAAAGGAACTCTCCTGCACTGATGGTGGGAATGCAAACTAATACAACCATTATGGAAAACTTAGCAGGTTCCTCAAACTGCTTAACATGGAGCTTCCATATGACCCAGCAATCTCACTCCTTGGTATCTACCCAAAAGACACAAAAACACTGATTCAAAAAGACACCTGCACCCCCATGTTTATTGCTGCTTTATTTACAATTGGAAAAACATGGAAGCAACCCAAATGCCCAAAAGTAGATGACTGGATTAAAAAGATGTGGTACATATACACAATGGAATATTACTCAGCAACCAAAAAAAAGAAACACATGTCTTTTGCACCAACATGGATGGAGCTGGAAAGATCATGCTTAGTGAGAAAGAAAAGGAAAAGTACCGGATGGTTTCACTCATAACATGAGTATAACGGGCCAGGCAAGAAAATAATAATAATAATAATGAACAGCTATATTCCAGAGACAATTTATGGGGGTGGAGTGGGGAATGGGATCAAAAACAGTGGGGGGAGGGGATGCAGTGGACTATGGTGATGACACATGGGTGATTTGGTGATGGAAAGCCTATGGAGATTACAACTGAGATGGAAAAATGCACAAGATGATGTAAAAATAAGCTATTTTTTAAAAAGATTTATTTATTTATTTGTACAGAACTGGGGTACAGGCCAGAGATGCGGAGGGTGAGAGAATTCACCAGAGACAGAGCGGGAAGCAGAACAGGCAGATCGATGAAGTACACTACTGAGGGGAGCAGCGGGCGGGTCAGGAGAGGTCTGCCACGCCATGTGGTCGCCTCCGGGGCAGGCGGGAATTGAACTCATGCGGAAGTGGCTTTAGCTTCTTAGTGCAGTGCTTTAACCCGCTGCGCCTCCAGGGAGGGCCTATTATTTTTTTAATTAACAACAAATGACTGGTCACATTATCTAAGGAATTGAGAAGATATACAAAAAGATACTTAAACATATCAGAAATTGGCCCTCCCTGGTGGCGCAGCAGGTTAAAGCACTGCATTAAGAAGCTTAACTCTTAGATACAGGCAGATATAACACAAGTATAAACAAGTTAAAAGTTTATAAGTTGAACTGAAACTTGTGACTTTTATAATGCAGATAGTTTATTCTGTCTCCCCACTAAAATGTCATAACATGAGGGGCCCTCCCTGGTGGCGTAGCATGTTAAAGCACAGCACTAAGAAGCTAAAGCCACTGTAGCATCAATTCGATTTCCACTCTGGAGGTGACCCACATGGCGTGGCAGACCTCCTGACCTGCCTGCAGTGCAGGGGCGGTGGGAGGCCTCACCAGAGAGAGAGGGGAGCAGAACAGCAGATCAATTAAGTACACTGCTCAGGGGAGCAGTGGGCGGGTCAGGAGAGGTCTGCTGCGCAGTGTGGCCCCTCTCATCAACCCATCTCCTTTAGACTATTGCAGTAATTCACTGGTCTCTACTTTTGCTGCCTCATCTGTTTAAAACTCACTACTAGCACATTCCATTTTGAGAAACATGATCCTGCTCTGCCCTCTTAGGCCTTTCTCTTCTGTTCTAATCACACTTGCTTCCTTATTCTTTGAGCATAACAGTAACCCTCCCCTCCTTTGGACTTTCATATGTGGTGTTCTTTCTGCCTAAGATGAAGTTTCTCTAGATAATGATATGGTTTTTCTTCTTGTTTCTTTCACATTGCCAATTCAATTGTTACTTAATCAGAAATATTTTCACTAAACACTGAAGTAACATCTGCATCACTTTCTCACCTATTAAACATACAAATTTTATTTTATAATTGTTTTCATTATAGCACTTTTCAACATCTAATATACTATTTTCCTTTGTTCTATCTCCCTCACTAAAATGTAAAGACATGAATTTAAAAAAGAAAAAAGGTTATTGAGTCTCTGCTTGAATTGATGGGTTTGTCTACCTGTTTTTGGAATAGCCTGTTTCATTGAGGATGTTTCACCACTTACGTGCTTCTCCTTAAGCTTTCCATTCTTCCAATCTAAGCATTCTACTTTACCTTCCTGCATATGATGGTTTTCAAGACTGTTATCTCCCCCTAACATTTGTGGTTTTGTTGTTCATCCTAAGGAAAGCAATAAAACTAAATAAATGTTGCAAATGTAGGAACAGTAGGACATTGCGTCTTGTTTTTGACATTATTAAAGTAATAATGATTGTATTAGTGCTTCTTTTTGTAATTAATCCTGTCTTTTTTTAAGATTTTATCTATTTATTTATACAAGAGTGAGGTGTAGGATCCACTGAAATCCACTGCTGAAGGGAGCAGTGGGTGAGACAGGAGAGGTCTGCTGTGCCAAATGTGTCAGCTCCTTGTAGTGCTGAGACTTAAGCCCTGCACCACCAAGAAGGCCCCAGTCAAGTCTTACTTTGAATTTTTTATCTATTGAAACCTTTAAGTTTCTGATCTTCTACTTTATTGTTGTTTCTAACCAAAGTATATACAGGTCTTTGCATTTTCTTATTTAACCTACTTGAGGACAGTTGTGTAACAAGGTGGTCCTCAGGAAAGGGCGAGGTTTCTAGGGGTTCTGAGGTGCCCCTCTCCCTGGCCTGTAACAGCAGTACTTATCTTTGATGTAGAAGAAACATGCATAAACTATATAAATAACTACCAGAAAAATTACTTGTTATTTATGGAAGATTTATAACTGATGAAATTGGGAGTTCCTTGTGTTTGTTACAGCATGTATTTGAACAGTTCACTGCAGTGGTGTGTTGTATCAATTAAAGAATGCTAAGAGTTGATTTAAAAATAATTTTATCTCATAATTACCCATGTTGACCAACAAATTGATTTCTTTTCCCACAATCCCCATTTGCATCTTGTTTCCTAGTCTAGAAAACCAGAATAATTTTTGACTCTCTGTACTTGATCTGTGCATATCAGAAATTTTTTCAGCTCTTTAAATTCTTGCTTTTCTGTTAAAACTCTAGCTAGCTGTGCAAATCTGTTTTAAATCTCTCCTCACTATAATCTTTTCTGTGCTTTGCTGGGCAATCACTCTTTCAAAAGATTTACTTACTTCTCTTTTATCATATCCTTTTTTCCTGAGGAATCTGTAAGATTGAATCTAAACTCAGACATTAGATACTTATCTATAATCTAACCCTACTTAATTTACATTGCTTTTGTAATCTTCCTCTATAATCTTTAAGATGAATCTCTTGGTTTTATGTCCAGCCTATTTTAGTATACAGACACACACACGTTTTTTCTCACCTTGTTTTTGTCATATTGACCTAAGTTAAATACTTTTTTATTCCTTCATTCTTGGCGTTCCTTATGTGCCTTAACTTTTTCAACACACATAACCTACCACCTTCAGTGACAAATCCAGGTCAAATTAACCTCTTTTCCCTAAACATGGTTTATGTGTATCACAAAGTTTATCTTCTATAGTCTTTGTTGCTTCATGTTTATACAAGACCTCCTTTCATTAAGATTGTGTGATTATTAATAGAAAGTAGTATAAATGAGTACTGAACCTGTTGTCCACTGGATTTGTTTGTACTGTTTTGTTTTTTAACTGAGAGAAGGCAAATGTGAAAGTTCTATTTTAATTCTTTCTTTAGGAAACCCCTTTTCAAGGCGAAATGAAGAAAAAAGCTGTATATACCCTAAATGTGGGAGATCAGGAATATGAAGATATGGAAGGTAACTTCATTTTTATAGAATGTTTATGTTGAAATCAAAACCTAGTATTTTTAAACTGTTCATTTCAAACATGCACAATGAATTGTTTTTACTTATTTTTGTTGTTGCTAAATTCTGATTTGTTGATATGTTTCCTAATTAAGAAAAGCACATAATTTTTTTCTCTTCCCATGTTTAATTTTCAGTTGATCAAGGTTTTTGGTTTGTTGATCTTATTCCTTTTTCTTAAAATTTTGCTCCATACTGATTTAGCATTTTTCTTTGCCTGTTTTTGTTTTTAATAATTAAAAATATTTTCCTCTGCTTCCAAAGTTAATATATTTTAATCTTTACCTTAGAACACTTTAACTTTGATCATACTATTCTTGAGATTAACGATCTACTTTTAGTGCTTTTTTTCCCTTCAAACACCACAGATGTTTTATATAGACAATATGGTGAGGGGGAGGATTTCTTCTCCATTCTTTTTTTTATTTTCCTGATAAAAACTTTACTAAGTTTTTTAATTCTCTCTCTTCAAAATTCTTTAGAGATAAATACACAGTTTTTAATTGATTTGTGTGTTTTAGCATGTTTATAGTATTTAGTTATTTCCTGGTTTTCTTTCTGTGTTAATTACATTCCCTGTAGCTGATCTCTCTTTATCTTCTTTATTTCTTTTATTCTCATCTTTGGATTTCAGTTAGTACTTTAGACTTTGTCTCCCCTTTTTCCCAAACTCTCTTTTCATAGATTATAATTTTTTGTCTCGCAAGAGTATAGGTAGTGTTTTCAAATCTCTCCTAGTTAACAGATAAATTTTTCTTCTGGGCCTGATCATCCTATCTAATATTCTGAAACTATGATATTTGAAGCCTGTGAACATCTAGATAAAATTATAAGAAGTAAATATAATCTATGAAATATAAAAGTAAATGTTTGCCGATTCTTACTTGTATTTGATAAACTAATCTGTAGAATTCTGAGGGCCTAAATTAGGGATACTTTTCACAAGATTGGTATTTACTTTTTCTTGAATTAATTCTGGGGCCACTTTAGCCTCCTAGAAGGTTCTCAAGAGTTCCCTTGATTTATTTAACAAGCTAGCAATATATACTTTGATGTGTTGGTTACATTGGGTGGACATTTAAATTAGTATTAACCTTAAGGGGAATGATTGGTCTAGCAGTTTAATTTTTAGGAATTTATCCAAAGGATATACTACTAAAAATATAAAGTGAGAAAGTGGGTTATTGCAGTATTGTTTGTAATAACCAGAGGTTGAAAACAAATGAATAACCAGAGGTTGAAACAAATTAATAACATTAAAACGACAAAAAAAAAATCAGACTAATGTCTATAGTGTTCTAGCATTTGTATGAAGAAAGTTTGAAGGATATATATTGGGGCTTTTTATTGCTTACATTTAAAAAGATCTCTGTAAGGAACTTTTAATGGTTTGTTGTTTGGTTGAGTGGAACGAAAGGGATGGGGAGTAGATTTGAGTGGGAGATTGGTCCCCATAAACTTTTAAATTTTTGAAACATGTGATTGTGTTTTTAAAATCAAATTAATGAAAAAAATTTGTACTCCCACATTAAAAATTATGTTAGTAAAGCATAGGAGGATTAGGCTCAATATCCATGATAATGTTTGTTGTAGTATATAGAAGATCACATTGCTTTATAATTACTTAGTGAAGGGTCATTTATGTTATATCACGGAACTGTCACTAAACAAGTCACTTGGTCTAGAGAATTTGAAAGCTTATATGACTTCTTTACTTTATAGACAAAGAAAACAAAGATAATACTGCTACCACTGGCCTGTTATACAGTGAAGCTGACAGATGTCCAATATGTCTTAACTGCCTATTAGAGAAGGAAGTTGGTTTTCCAGAAAACTGTAATCATGTCTTCTGCATGACCTGTATTCTTAAATGGGCAGAGGTAAGTCAGAAAATAAGTATTAAATATTATTGTATTTTAATTTCTTAGCATGATTTTATTCCGCCTAAATTATTTCAGTCATCCTTAGTTTGGATAAATTTCACTGTATTATACCAGTTCTGTCAATATATTTCCTTCTAATTTTCCTTTATTCACGAAAAGCGCTTTTTACTCTTTTGTAACAACAACAAAAATAATTTAAATGCATACTTTAAAAAAGTTTAATAATCTTACAGGAATAGCAAGTATTTTTTTTTCTGATAGAAATGCAATAATTCATTTTCAGCACCTCTATTTACTGCTAATATAAGGTCCTTCATCTGCTTTGTGTTTATATTATTTAGAGAATTTTTGCATAGGTTATTTGATTTCTTCTTTATATTAACTTTGTGGGATAACCAGAGCAGCTGTAACTATGTCCGTCCATTTGGAGCTTGTGTTATATAACTTAACCAAAATCTCATAACATAAGAGGCAAGAGTACCTAAAACCACATTTTCCATTTCTGTTTTTATTTAGTATGAAGTGATATCAGATCAGAGTAAGTCAGAGATGTTACTCAGGTTCTTTATAGAAAGCAAGTGATAAGGGCTTTTTGAATTCCTAATGCATTATGTTGATTGAATTTGGGCCAAGTATACCACAATACTGGTATTTTCAATATTCATTATAATCCTCAGTCTTATGAATTGTGAAATAAAAATACATTGTCATATGAATCATGCTATATTTTCTGAATAAATGATTGGTGTATAAAAATTAGTAAAGGAGACAAATCTCAAAATTTTTATTAATATCAGTTGCATAAATTGATGTTCCTCAGCTTATTGGAGTTATTTGTTATATAACAAGGGTTGTTATATGATAGTACTGTGTTTTATACACTTTCATTAATAATGTAAAAAGGAAACATGACTGCTATCTTTATGGCTGAATTCTAGAAGGAGAAAAAGAAAGGCTTCTTGTTATATCAGTTGGAAATATATATATATATGTATATATATATATATATATATATATATATATACACACACACTTGAAAAATGAAAACAGGTTTCACTAGATTAAAACCTGATTTTTGGCAATAAGGGACTAAAGATAGGTAAAAGTGGGTCCTGGAAAAAAATCTGAATTTTGAGTTTTGCTAAGTTAATAATACATTATAAATCTCACGGTGTTTGCAGGAACACTGGCTAGTGAAATAAAATGCACACTTTTTCCAGCCACCCAACTATAGATCTATGTAGAACTTAATATACCTTGGTTTGCTTTGTGATGAAATATCTTAATAATAGATTTTGCTCCTAGTCAGGAAGCAGTATTACTGGATGGGTGGAGACTTCAGTGGAGTGCTTTCATATGATTGTACTCAGTGACACATAATTATGAAGTTAAACAACATGCTTTGAATATGTTTTTCTCTATGAGAATGAGAAAATAAGGCTGCTCCTTTCTTACACTTTATGTGCATATTTCACACACCATAAGCTTTATCATGATGTACATGTTCCAGATTTCACTAGGGTATGTATCTAGCTGTGGAACAATTAGCTGGTAGCTTGTAGATACTCAGCTCCACTAAACAGTGTCAAGTTATCTCTTTTTTTAACTCTCATTGTTTATATTTAAGTTGAAAATACTTGATAACTTAGAGTTGCAGTCAGCACTTTTTTGATTTTTTTTTATCCTTTGGATATAAATATTTTGTTAAAGTCAAATTATTTATCTGCTGTACTACCATAAATTGTAGGGGGGAGGACAAGCATTCTGGTTTTGTTTAAACATAAGTAACCATGAACATGGAATAAACATAATATTCTACAATACTTCATTGTTCCAAATAATAGCAGTCATCATTTAAATAACCCTTTAAGTTGAGCAGTAACAAAAGCACAATTCACAATTATAAGTTGTTCATTATAAATGTTAAGTGAATACTGGTTAACAAAATCACTTAGGCTTTGGACTAAATTTTCTATTTGCATGGTATGATAAAAGTTAGATAGGTTTTGAAGTATATAAGTGCTTTGACAAATAGAATTAAATCTCAGATTCAGTAGTGTTTTTTCCCATGGCCATTAGTTATTAAGATCTGTCATTTTATTCCACCCCCTTCTGTTTTTAAAGAGAGGCATACAACTTACTTTGGATTTCAGGGTTATAATAAATGTCTATGTTGGAGTCTCTTACCAGACAGACCCTATGCTAAAACTTTATTTGTTCATTCATATAAATCACTGTTATGTTTGGCATTCAAGACAAAGAGTTACATATTTTAATGGATACATATCTGAAATTAAAATAATTTTTAAATACTTATCCATAGTTTAACATTTTACTAATTTTTCCTTCTAGTAGGAGGGTAAAAACCAAATTGAGATTTGCAGTGGTTGGAAGTCTGCAGAATTAGAAAAGAGAACAAAAGTATTCAGGACCTCTTCCTAGTCTTGTATGTCTTTCAGAAATTCAGCTGAGCTTTCTGAGACTTGTACTCAAGGTTCACAGAAATATGATTCAGAATGGATATCAAGAACCAAAAAGAAGAACTCATATATTTATTTTCATCTTAATATTTTAGACATTGAAGAAATTCTACTTCATGAGGAACTAGTAAGGTATTCAGTGGTCTAGTATATTTATCTTGGGTGCCCATCTGAAGGTTTCCATGCTTCTAAATATCTGAATCCAAAGTCAGAGTTAGTTTTAAATTCTTTAAGTTCTAAAATTTTGGTTTTGTGATATTGTATTTTATTTTAAATCATACAAAACTGTTTACCAATCAAAAAAAAGTGTCACATTGCTCCCCTGACTTCTCTGGGAGGACCATGCACCACCACTGGGATTGGGCTGCAACAGTTCTAAAGAAGTATTTGCATCTGGGGGTGGGGAGTGCTTCTGGGTGTAAAAAGGATGGAGCCCTTTCTGGGTGGTGCATGTCCATGAGATTAGAAGTGAGGGGCAGAAGGACCCCTGTGAGGGAAGCTTTACTTTGCCGGGAGAGCCCAGGAGTAGGTAAAGACCACAGAGAGGGAGGCTCCTTCTGTGGCCCAGCGTACAGGTTCTGTGGGTTTTAAATACAACCATTTAAGAAATTGAAAAAACGTAATTGACTCTCATAAAAAGTTGAGATTTTTATTAATTTAACTTATTAACTGATAAAATATGTATAGAGTTAATGCACCAGAGTTTATCAACCATTCAGAAGGTAACTGATAATTCATACTATAAACAAAAATGCAAACTAAAACAGACGAGAGAAAGTTTTATGATTTGGCATAGTTGCCAAGAGGTGGTTCAAATTTTGGCCCTTCATTTGTTAGTTTGAGCACTTGGAATTAGTTTATGTTAAGGCATTTAAGGGTTTTTATTCTGTTTAAAGGGACATATAGTATGTATGTTTTGTAGGTTCTTGATATTCCTCAGATTTCTTGTCCGTTATCTTGTAAGTTATCATTTCCTGATGTGATTAACTTTCCTACTATAAACAAATTATCTTCCCTCGTTATCTCAGTCTTCTATTTCATATCCAATGTTGATAGCTTCAGTTTGAGAAAATAAAGTTAATAAAATGAAACTGGACAGTTGGCAAAAGGCATGCTTTCTTTCATGAGACTAGAAGTGAGGAGGCTTACTATGCTGACAAACAGTTCTTGAAGAAGTCAAACTGTTCAATGCAGACAGGTGAGGAGTATATTTTTGAATTAATGCTATATGATTAAAAAATTGAAATGTGACCAGTTGACATATTTTGACTACTGCTGTGTCTTAGATATAGTGCAGAGCGCAGATTTGCACACCCTGATGATTGGAATTTTATTTATTTGGGGTTTATAATTATTTTAACAATAATTCAGCAAAACTTATTGTGTTTTTTCTTTCAGTTTTTGCTAAAATTTTCATTTGTCTTTATTCCTAAATTAAACCAATCTGTTATTTAATTATCTGTGAACAATAATCACCTCTAAAATTCTACTAACATTGATCCTATCTTTATAATTTACAAAGCACTCTCAAATACATTATCTCATTTAATTACTGTAGACTATGCAATAGGTGATTCGGGGTTGATTATTTTCATTCTGACAGTAGATTAGAGAGAGGTTTCTAGTTCTGACTCCTCCAGAACTTGAAATTTTGACTAGCCCTTTTGTTTTAAACCCATGTGTTAATACTTTGGTAAGACAAAGAATATTTTTTACATTGTGAGAACTCATTACCTTAAAGCACTATGTTATATGTTTTTGTTAATTGTTTACTTACCAGTTAAATTATTGTGTATTTCTGTATAGCCTAGTTTAAAATGTCAGAATTTATAAAGTAATTTATATAGGTAGTACAGAATTTCCTGATTTTATACTTGAAAAACTAAGTCTCATCATATAATGTTGAAAAAAAATTTAAAGTAATTCTACCCAACTGTTGAAAATATATCTTAGAGAACAGAAAACGATTGTCATTGAATAGTTAGATAAAATGCTTTTTTCCTTGGTGTTAATTTTATCATTGACAGCCATTATCCTTCAGGCTGTTCCTGATATCTCTTATAAATAACCACAGCTTTACTAATACAGATTGACAGGCACTATATTGGAAAGAACTGACTTAGTGTACTCGGTGTCATGTGTGTAGACTGACTACTTTGGCATTCTAGGCCGAAGTATCTATACTTTGTATAGATACAAAAATCTAAAGTAAGAACAACCACTAATGGATGCATTTGTAAATCATCTTTGATTTTAAACAATGTGGTACTCTATTTGTGAGTAGAAAAAAATAAAGATGTTCTAGAGATTCCCATGAACAGACAAACCTACTTATATTTTAGGTACTGAGATTTAGTTTTTAAGCACCTTTAACACTTGCTTCTCTCTCTCTAGGAGGGGCTATCTGTAGGCAGCCTATGTGATTGAGGATAGAGCAGCAGCAGGAAGCACGAAATATTAGAAATCAAGAATCCTGAATTCCCAAATAAGGAAGGTTTCCTGTTCTTACATTTAAATATGGGTTTGTCTGAGCTGGGAATTTACAACGCTTCAGAATACTAGGGTATGTTTTACTGAAATCATTAGGAAGAACATTTTTCAAAATTGCCTCCTTAACTGATAAAATCTTAGTACAGAGCATTTGCAGTATGCTCATTTTTTAATACACATTATATTAAAAGCAGCAATCAAATTCTATTAGCTTTGTAGCTGAATCACAAAATTGAATGCTGGTATTGTACTACTCCAATAATGAAACTGATTAAGTTAGAGAATTTAAAAATTACTGAAATGAAATTCTTTGATTTAAATAGGAAAATAATTGAAGTGTATTTTGTTGTATATAAGCATTCAAAATGATGAATAATTGATATTATTTTCTTCAAAACTAAAACCATATTTTAAAGCAGGGTGTTAGAGTTAAAATTTTTCTTCTCTTGTTTTAAATGTGAATTTTAAAGACCATATAACTTAAAAACATAAAGTAGTTATTTTAGTGACAAACTCTGAAAACTAATTTAAATATGTGAGATTTTCTGAATGAGTAGCTGCTGGATAAAAGGGTGAAATAACCTTAGGAGTGTCTTAAAATGAGGCCACTGCAAACCTTTTTGTAAAATGTGTGTATAAAACTTCCTCTATTAAAACTGTTTGATCAATACATTATGTATAGTAATTATATGCTTCAGTATTTATTAATGATGGTGTCTAAATCTAGGCATATATTTAAGTAGCCTTTTGGTAATAATATACATTAAAAATTTAGAGATTACACTTTTTTAAATCTGTTTTGATTTCTTTTTCATTAAAATCTTTAATCATTAATAGCTTTTTGCAATATGAAGACCTTACTCGGGATACTTGAATTTCTTTTCTGTTTCTTTGAAATGCTTTGCTCAGTAATTCTAAGGTCAGAAATGAGTACTACTTAATAGCAATAGCAAAAATATTTTGTCTATTTTCAGTAGTTTTCTGACCTTTGCTTTCTCTAAGTAGAGAGGATAACTTGTTAAGAGATTTTTCTGTTGGCTAAGCCAAAGCCAAAGAAAATGTATTAACTTAATTTTTAGTATTAACTAGATTATCTTTAGGAAATGTAAGTATATACAGTTGTGTCAGTGGTTTTCCTACTGGTAGTTCTCTGGGGTTTTTTGTTTTTGTTTTTGTTTTTTTTTTTCCTGTTTTCTGTTTATGTAGTAATAGGGAGCCTATCCTTTAGAAACCTTAGGCAGTCCCTGGCAATTGTGCTTAAGGAAAAAAAGAAGAAAAAAAATCTTACTGAGAACCCCCTTATTTGATACAGATCAAAATAAAATGATAAAGGTTAAAACTCCCTGAATCCTGTACAGGAAGGATGCCACTTAGTTTGATGTTGACAAAGTTTTATGAATAAGAAAATAAGATAATGAAACTTCAGTTTTTTAAAAGTTTAATTCACCTGATAAATTTTCTTGAATACAATGGCTTTCTTTGGATTTTAGTGTTACAAATTGAAATAATATCTGAATTTCCACATATACTATGCATTTTGCAAATTCCAACAAAAATATTAAGAACTCATGTCACTTGTGTATATATAAATCATATTGTACGTTACCTTTGTAAATAAACCACTTATTTTTGGTACAGGGAAACTAGATGATGATTAGGCTTTGCATAATATGTAGTAATGACACTCACTCTTCTGCAATTATTGATTCCCATAAAAGCTTATAAGTTCTATTAGTATCCCCATTTTTTACAAATGAGGTAACTGAGACACAGAGGCTTGTAACTTAATGTCACAAAAGGCTGGATACAAAAGTCAGCAGACCCTCTACACAGTGTTTTGTTTTTTGTTTTTTTTTTAATCATTGCAGGAAATGTTAACTACTATTTTATCTTTTTATGAGTGTTTAACTAAATTTACCATTAAAATAGAAATAATATATTTTCAAATTTTGGTAAAAATACTTGAAAGTGTTTACATTAAGTACTAAGTGATAATCAGTTATGATTTCTGATGGTAAGTTCTTTGATCTAGATATGCTACTTGAACTACATTATTAAAAGTATATGGACAGCTTTGTTGCTACTTGTAGCAAAGTTTCTTAAGGTCAGGTTTTCAGAAGGGAAAAATAATAGCACCCAAACCCATAATGCTTGAAAAGTAAGCTGAGCTGGCTTCTACCAGTCTGAACCAACTTAATACAGTACGGTCATGTTTCCTAATTCAGATGTGGTAAAGCATTGCTGACTTTATTGGAAAAGAAAGATCACTTATTTTTTAGCAGGATAGTGAAAAGATAGCTCAGTTTGTATTTCGGCTATTCCCAAAGTAACTCATGAACTTTCTTCAAAAGCATTACAACCAATCTGCCCACAGGCCACATACCATTTAGTTTTTCTGTACTGGGTATAAACATATCTTGATGAGTGCTAAAGTCCAGAAAGGCAAAAAAATCAACTTTTATTTCCACTAACGAATAGAAGACGTTGTATCAAAGTACTATTACTATTTTGTGGTCTTTAGACTATTGCTTTTAAAGTTGTTTAAATTGCTGTTTTACTTCTAAAACCATAGGTATTAATACCTTTTGGTATTTTCTTCATAGGCTGTAGAACCCCTTCTTTAGTGATCCCTTCTTAATAAATAGCATATTCCAACTTAAGTTATTTAAATAATATTAACCCTATTATCCCTATACAAATATTCAGTAGTATTATCAGGGAAACACAATCTACAAAGAATGCGTACAATTACATTTAAAAGACTAGCAACCTAATAAAAAAGTTAGACAAAGGCATGAATAGACAGTGTAAAAAAAAAAAGGAACTTAGAATATACCCTAAAAATAAGAAAAGAAAATTAAAATTTCAAAAACATTAATAAACTAATACAGCTTACCATGCTGTTAAGAATGGGGCTTTCAGGGCTCTCTCTGGTGGCTCAGTGGGTTAAAGCACCACATTATGAAGTTCTGCAAAGCCACTACAGCATGAGTTTGATCCCCAGCCAGGTTGCTGACCCACATGACATGGCAGACCTTTCCTGACCCACCCACTGCTACCCTCACCAGTGTACTTCGTCAGTCTGCCTGTTCTGCTCCCCACTCTCTCTCTGGTGAATCCTCTCACCACACCTCTTCACCACCAGTTCTACAAGCATAAATAAATAAATCTTCTAAAAAAAAAAAAAAAGAATGGGGCTTTCTAAAATTTCAGTACAATCCAATCTAAGATGTAATTAAGAGAAAACCAAACTTCATCTCAAAATATGAATTAACTCTGTTTTATATTTAAAAGATACATATATATTTATGTATATGTATATGTATTGTGTATCTCCAAAAGGATATATTCAAAACTACTAGAGAAGGCATTCAGGTAACTAAAGGACTGGGTGAAGGCATCCTCCATTTTTTGCTATAATTTTTTTTTAATGCTGGTACATTATAATATAATTAAATATAATATGCCTATTTAATATAATTAATTTTGAGGGAAAATATTAAGTCAAAGCATATCAAAATCTTCAAAGGACTTGTCCTGGTTATTCCTTTTACAGCTGATTTATTTTCCAAGTCTTTGATCACAGAGCTACAGGTTTTAGCCTGACTCCCTTAATTATACGAGTACTATTCAACTGGGCAGCAGGTATTAATACATATTATCTTGGTGACAGAGACCTTACTCTGTTGTTCATTTTTGTAGTTTACTTACCTAACATGTAGTAAATTGTTAGTAAATGTTGGAATGAATTAAACAAATTTAGGGTGTTTATTCATCCAGTATTTTAAGGTGTTTAAGATATTTCCCTTGCACAAGGAAAGTATATCATCTTTATTTTTTAGAAGGAGAAAAGGTTACTTTTCTGCTGTTTCCTGTTCCAGTGGAAAACCTGACATAAATGTGTATGCTGTAGCATAATTTTGATCTATCCTAAAGAAACATTGTTTAAGCTAAAATTTGTTCATCATTTTTCAGACACTGGCTTCGTGTCCTATTGACCGAAAACCTTTTCAGGCAGTGTTTAAATTCAGTGCATTGGAAGGTTGTATTAAGGTAAGTCTTAGATTTCGTTTTGAAACATGAACTAGAGACAACTAGACCTGAGACAATTTTGCCTTAATAAATTTGCAATTTGAATGTATTTGTGAATTGTTCAACTTAAAGTTTAATATGTGATTATCATTCTTTCTCAGTATTTTAAGCCTAGATTTTCTATAAGGATACAGAAATTCTGGATGATTTTTTTCTTCCCTTCCCATATTGGAACCATACTGGTTCCCCTATGATTTTTCACAAAATGCATTAGCTCTTTGATGCTTTAAAAGATATTTCTGTTGGGGAAAAAAAAAAAAAGATATTTCTGTTGTCTTAAATATGTATTATTTAAATTTTTAGGTTATTTTTAGCATGAGAATTTCTGTATTTCTAAATCATGTCTTGATTAATTGGATAGTGGTTTTAAAAGGTCAATCCTCACAAAAACTTACGTACAAAATAATTGAAAATTGTGTTTTCTGATAAACATTTTAGAAGGATAAGCCAATAAAGTTAATACAAAGTGGTGTCTGTATTCCTAAGTGCTTGTGCTTAAAGAAAAGTGAGCTTAAGTAGAGAAAGTAAGGACATTTGCAGAGATTTTTTATAGGGATTTCAGAAAGGCTTCAAGTCTGGAATGGGAAGATTGCCTAATTTGTCTATTAAGCACCATTTATTTTAGTGCTTAATTCTAATCACTTCCATGAGATGCCCATAGACGTTTTGATGTTACTTGTGATTATGATTTGTATCCACATTTTTTACTTACAAGAACTAGAAAAAGATACAGGAACATACAAAATGGTGTAAAAATAAACTTTTGTAATAAAAAAAAAAGCTACAGGAACATACTCCTGAGTTAATGAGAAGAGAAAAGGGAATAGTTAAGACATGTGAGAAATATTTCTTGAGGTAGTACTAAGAAGTAACAGGTGATATATAACTAAAAATGAAAATTGCTCAATACATACCTAAATAAAAGCATTAATGGGAGAAACTGTTCCAGGACTGTGATAGCTTGGTTGCTATCTCTGAGTATGAAATATGGTACAACTAAGTATTAGAGGTTCTCTTTATAGGTTTCTATAATACATATATTTGTAATATTTTTATCAGTTGAGTCAGTGACATAGGTACAAATGAGTTGGCAGTTCATATAAGTGGGATTTCTAAAAATGATTTCATGTATATTTGTGTGACTGGTCATCAACCAAATTAGTATATATCATGGAGAAAGGATATACTGTTCTATGACTATGATACTATAATCAAAATCAAAGCATGTCTTCTCTGAAAGACATGTTCTCTCTTTCCCAGGCTATAAATAATACTATGTTGCTAAAGGTTATTTAGTATCAAGTAGCTTCCAAACATTTTCCTGTAAAATGTTATTCTGTTACTAGCTTTAACATTTATTCTGTTGCTTACAATTAAAATTTTTTTGTTTAATAGTGCTTGTATTTAAAGTTTGTCAAAGTTAAAAGGTGTAATGTGTGGTATCGTCCATCTTCTCTTAGTATTTTCCTTTGACTTTTACTTCTTTCACATCTTCATTTCATTATTCTATTTCCTTTACAACTAAACTAGAACAAAACAGCAATACTTGCTTATTACCTTTCCTAAATTACTTTCCATCATTCACTCTTACCATTTTATTTTACTAAAACTTCTCGCTAAGGTCCAGAATTATAATCTGCTGACTGAGCAATCCCATGGTTTTCTACTTGTAATGCTGTTGACTGTCCTTTATTTCCTTTGGATTCTAGGACATCTTTCTCTTATGGGTATGTATGTATGTGTCTGTGTTTATGTTTGAATGTTTTGCTTATCAGACCTTTGACAACTCTTTGCCTCCTCTTTACCCTCCTTACCTTTTTCTTACGTCATTGGGACTCTTCCTTTCAATTCTCAAAGTATACTTTCTCCCTTCAATCTTCTCAAATACTTAAGTAATTTTAAGTACTGTGTGTATTTATATGTCTTCTAAAATTCTGTCACTAGCCTTAATCTTTTCCCCCAGAACTAGACTTGAATTTCCAGCCACTGGTTGGACATCACTATCCAGGATACCAATCTTAACATTAACAAATTTAAAACTCATCATTTTTCCTTCCTTGCTCTCAGCTCCAGATGTTAATGGTATAGTGATCTTAGTCACCTAAATCAGGAACATCTGGGAGTTTCCCTCTTTTTTCTCTTCCTCATCTTTGCTTATTCCTTCTGCACAATATCTTAAATTTGTTCCTCCTTTATTCTCCTGCTAACTCTTTGTAGGTCCTGCTGTTATCTAGACTGGTGTTGCCGATGGAAATATACACCACTCTGTATTTTGAAGTTTTTGGTATCCCCATTAGAATAGAACAAACCTGATATTTTATTTGGACTAATATACCTGGTGTATTAGTTCAACTTATCTGATGTATTAGTACTTTTTAGCAAATTACTACTGGGAGATTTTATACTATTTTCTTTTAAAATCTGTTGTCTATATTACAATATAGTATATCTCACTTCAATGAACCACATTTCCAGTGCTCAATAATCACATGTTGTCTAATACTGTGAAGGCTTTTTTCTAGTTTCCTGACTTTTATAGTCTCTCCTTAACCTATTCATACTTCAGATCACTACCAAAGTTGTCATTTAAAAAAATGGGATCATTTCATTCACTTGCTTTAAAAACTCCATTTATTAGTTGCTCTTCTCTGTATTTTTGTGAACTGGGTAGAGAAAGAATCTCCTCATATTTTAAAATTTGTAATAAAGATAATTTTAAAAAATTTTTGTATAGGGGCCTCCCTGGTGGTGTGGGGGTTAATTAAAATCTTAGCTCTATCAAGTTGTCACCAGCCACCATGGCCTGAGTTTGTTCCTGACCAGGGAGCTAACCCACATGGCACAGCAAACCTCTCCTGTCTGACCTGCTGCTTCCCACAGCAGTGTAATTCAGTAGATCCTCCTGTTCTGCTTCTCATTCTGTCTCTAGTGAATCTTCTTATGCCCTGCACCTCTAAACATTCTAAACATAAATGGTTTATATTCTAAACATAAATGGTTTATGTTCTTCTAAACATAAATAAAGTTAAATCTTTAATAAAAGAAGAGTTTTGTATGGCTGAAAAAAAGATGAGAGTTTTATTTATTCTCTGATACCTATAGAATTTTCTTATTTGAACTTTTTACAATCAGCTCTAGTACATTATATCAGCTTCATTTCTCATCTTTCTCATCTGCATTGACTTCACACTTATAACTATGGTCTTTTCTTTATCTTTAATATTTTTCATTTAAGCAAATTCCTACTCAGTCTTTTAAGACCAACTCATAAATCATCTGCTCGTGAAAGTCATCTTTGACATACTTAGCTAATTTCTCAGTACTACATGTATTTATAAAACTATGTTCTTATCTGTTATGGACACTTACTCTATTACTCTATTTACATACCCCTCTCTCACTCCTTTGTTTCTTCAGAGCATAGTGAAATTCCTGAACTTACAAGTTAGTCCACCTGAATGAATGAGCATATATATTGAGGCTACTCTTTCATTCAGTTTTATTTCATTAATTCTTGTACCTTTGAATTTCAAGGGAGAACTGATAAATTACCATTTGTGATGTTGGATTCTCTCTCTAAATAGGTGATTTTGCTTTTCTCATAGGTCCAAGTAAAAAGACAGTTGAGAGAAACAAAAGACAAGAAAAATGAAAGCTCTTTTAAGAAACTGCTCTCCTGTCATCAAAATTCTAAAAGCTGTATGAGGTTAGTTATGAACTTTAGCGGTGGAATACAAATACGGAGACAGCTAGTAAGTGGAATACAAATACAGAGACAGCTAGTAAGAGTGCTCTCCTTTTTTTATAATTTGGGTTTAAATGTACTTAACTACTTCTTTTAAAGCACATAGTTGATATTGAAAGACTAGCTGAAATCTTAACAATGTAACTTGAGTTCGCCTTTTGATGAGGAATTAGTTTGTTGCATTTTTTCCTTCCCAATTGTATTAGGGTAGTATTTTTGTGTGATGTTACAGCAGTGTAACATTTCTATTAAAACATCTAAATACTTAACTATTGAATATATCCTAAAGCAAGAACAGACAAGAACTGGTGCAGAGGCCACATTTGAGTAGTGCTGTTGTAGTACTTATGGACAGAAAGTAGAAGATCACTACCAAAGTACAACTGTCTCCAGGAGGTAGTTAGAACCAAAACTTCTGCTGTTACTTCTTTATTGTAGCAGACACTGCTACCTACTGTTGATATGACAGATAATTAATCATTTTTTAAAATTTTAACATGTTTAGATCTGTTCCTTTAACTTCTATTGCCTAGAAATACAATGCTTAGTTTAGTATCTGTGCTTAAATAGGTCTGAAAGGTATAGTAACATTATACTATAGTAGTATACTAGTAGTGTAATAATTACTAGAAATAATAATAACTTAAATTGTTCTCTTATATTTTGCCCATTTTATCTAAAGTATATTTAGAGCTGTCCAAAAGTTGTGTTTTTAAGTTAAAATATTAATTTGATAATTATTGATCCATAGTTCATTAGTATATTTCATCAGAATAGTGATCTCAAGAGAGTAAATTTGTATAGTTACCTTAAGAGTTCATAATAGTCACTGTGATTTATTGAATCATGTCACTGATTTATAGCACAGTAGCTCTTTAGATCTTAACTTGTAGGAAATTTGCAGGTTCTTTGAATATCTGGAGATACTTCGTGTAGAAAAATGTCATAAACTATAAGTACAGGCTAAACTTTTACATAATTTTAAGTGATTCATAGAATACCCACTCCAAGAGCCTACTTACAAACTTGAGTTTATTACTGCATCAGAGCAAAGTTGTTATGTGTATGTGTGTATATATAACTCAGTTTTGAATCTTGCTTTTTTTGTTTATATAGACAATACCTTTTGCTACTTCATTTTTGACAGTCATTACCTGTGACCACATAACATCATGGGTGTTCATTTTTGTGCTTTATCAGAATTACCCCAGTTCTCATACTCTCATGAGTTATGACCTGTAAAGAGCATCATACTGTAGGTGTGACATGGCCAAAGGAGTCTCTGCGCTTGACAGCTGTTTCTCAAGGGTTTGTGGTAGGAACATGGTAGAGAGAAATAGCAGATGCAAAGTAGTAATTTGCCTTTGCCCACATGTTACTTAACAATTTCTCCCAAGGTGGAAAAATTTGTCAACTATTAGCTATTTTTCCTAGGCGGGGCGGGGAGGGGGGAGGGGCTGGGGGGTTGGGTGGCAGGCTTGGTAATTTTTAGCATTGCTATCATTTAGTCTTCAGTTTATGCCTAGTTTCTCCAGCACTTAGACAACATACATTCAGTGTTGCCTCTTCCTTCTAAAAACCCTGACATCCTTCGCATTCTGATATTTTCTAACAGTTCCAAGGGGAGATCACAGTGGTGTTTTTATGTCTTGGTAGTGAATGTCTCTATTTTATCAACAAGGCATTGGAGTGGAGAATAGCAACTAGGAGTAGCTACTTGCTTTTTGCTTTGCTGGTATTTAAAACTCAGTGCACAAAAGGTTTTATTTTGTTTTGGTGAATTGACAGTAAATGAATAAAGTGACAATTCTGCATAATTATTTTACTTCTATTGATATTTGCAGAAAAAAGGTCATAAAAGAAGATTTATTAAATGCAAAAGTTTATGGCTTGAAGAGGCTACATAGTAAGTGACTTTTTACTTGTGCTTTCTATTACTCCTTTTTTTTTTGGACTTACTGTATTGTTTGTGACAGTTATTAGTAATACTTGGTTTGGAAAACAGTCTTACACTGATGAGTTAACTCCTATATGAACAGCTTTCATGAAGTTATTTATGCTGTTCCCTATCCTTTTTGTTTTTATGCTTAACTTGAAAGGAAAAGAGAAATAGCAAAGGAGAGAAGAGTGTTTTTTTTTTAATTACTTGGTAGCTTACAACTTACGTTGTGATCTTACGCTACTTGCTACTCGTTGTCGCAGAAATCCTTAGGAGAGAAGAGAGAACACAGCCGCAGGCAGTAACTAAGCAGGAGAGAGGGAAGGTTGTGATGGTAGACTAATCCCCAGTTCCTAGTTTCAGTTTGACCTTCAGCTACATTTTTAATGTCTAATTTTGTAAATGAAGCACCTCTCATATATTTACCTATATGAGAAGGTAAAGATTCCTGTCTTTTGCTCAAGTCCAGTGCATGGTTCTCTAATATAGGGAAGATTTGCCACAGAGCCTAGGAAAAAGTAGCTCTATAGTGCTTTGTGATACTTCTTGGCACTCAGGCTGTTTATTCTGTTTCAGAGAACAGCCCACTCTAAATTGTTTGTAAGCAAAGAGATGAGTGTTTAATTTCCAGTCTAAGTTATATGAATTTCTATTTATAGATAGAATTAAGAATTAGCTGTTCATTTTTTAAATTTTTGTTTATTTATGCATAAGAGGTGGGATATAGGCCAGAGGTGAGGGGCAGTGAGAGGACTCACCAGAGACAGAGTGGGGAGCAGAACAGACAGATTGACAGAAATACACTGCTGAGGGGAGCAGTGGACGGGTCAGAAGAGGTCTGCTATGCCATGTGGGTCAGCTCTCTGGAGGGGGATTGAACTTGTGTTGCTGTGGCTGCTGCAGTTTAATAGTGCTGAAACTTAACCCTTGTGCCACTGGGTAGAGCCCCTCCCCCCCCACCTCTACAAAACTGATTATTCTTAAAGATTATAAACAACTTTGTTTTTGTTATTTATGAATACCAAGATTAGTTGTTACTGTTTTTCTGTTTGGAATTATCCTGATCTCTGGTTTATAGATGCCAGGTTTCATAATTTACTAGTAGAGTTAATTGCAATAAAAGGAATTTAATGATTACGTATTTTTCTTTTTTTTTTTAAAGATTTATTTATTTATGCATATAGAACTGGGGTACAGGCCAGAGATGGGGAGGGTAAGAGGATTCACCAGAGACAGAGAGGGGAGCAGAACAGGCAGATCGACGAAGTACACTGCTGAGGGGAGCAGCGGGCGGGTCAGGAGCTGGTCAGGAGAGGTCTGCCTCACCATCTGGATCTCCTCCAGGGCAGTTAGGAATCAAACTCATGCAGAAGTGGCTTAAGCTTCTTAGTGCTGTGCTTTAACCTGCTATGTCACCAGGGAGGGCCTAAATAAGTATTTTTCTTAAAGAACTGTCATTTTGTTTTTCTGTATCATTGCTATATGTTAGCACCCTTTTTTTTAATGGATACCCTTTGCCTATTCATTCTAGGATCAGATATAAAGTTTACTGCTATAAAACATTTAATGATGGTTTTTTTCTAGATCATTTGGCCCAATCTCATTGTCTTAGTTTTAAGAGTACTATAATTTTCTTAAATTACATATCTCCTGCCTGAGCTTATTTCTAGAGAAACAATTTTTAAACCTATAGTGTGCTTCATTATAGTGAAGTCATTTACCAGAATCTATGATTCATTTAAATTTGGAATTTTGTCTTGACTGTTGAGAATATGAAATACTAAGTTCTAATTTAACAGAATATTTATAATATTTTCCTACTTTATTTTTTAAAGGTATTTATGCAAGCATGCATGCATGCATGCATACAAGAACTGAGGTGTAGGTCAGAGGTGTGGGAGGTAAGAGGATTCACCAGAGACAAGAGCAGAATAGGTGGATCTACAGAATATACTGCTGAAAGGAGCAGCAGTGGGTAAGACAGGAGAGGTCTGCTGTGCTGTGTGGGTCAGCTCCCTGCCCTTGTGAATTAGCTTCCTATCTGGGGATCAAATTTGCTACAGTGGCTGGCCATAGCTTAATAGAGCCGAGTCTTAACCCCTGCACCACCAAGGAGACCCCAGTATTTTCCTATTTTACAAGCAAGTAATATAGATCAGAAGATCACATATCATTTTCAAAGCCTTAGTGAATGTAGTGGAGATTTATTACAATAAAATCCGGGAAATATTGTTTCCAGAATGGAGAGTTATGTGATAGAAAAGGAATACCCACTTGGCATCTATGGTACCAGTATTGTTTTACTTACTGACTTGAGTGGCAGTCATTTCAAGTTATACTGTATTACACATATTTATATTATATTTACGTTCATTTCTCTGTGTGTATTATATTTATATTTAATTTGTTACTGAAGTACTATTATGTTTTGGCAGTATAGGCTATATAGTAGTCACCATAGCACTCTTACTACCTGAGTGCCCATAGTCTTCCACCAGAGTCCATTGTGCTCTCCCTCTCCTTCCCTGTCTGAAAGCCATAGATCTGTGGTCAGTTTTCAAGGTTTGGTTTTAGAGTTTGTCTTTGACCCTTTGGTTTCTCTATATTATGCATGAAAGTGATGCCATCTGTTATTTATCTTTCTCCTTATTTATGTTGCTTTGCATAATGCCTTCCAGCACCATCCATTTTGCAGCAAATGTGATCATAGATTTTATCACTGAGTAGAATTCCATTATGTATATAGACCACATCTTGTATATAGACCACATCAATTCATCTGTTTGTTTCCATTGTTTGTTTCCATACCTTGGCTATTGTAAATAGTGCTACAATAAACATAGGCATGCATAGTTCCCTTCAAATTAGTGTTTTTATATTTTGGAGTAGATCCTAGGAGTAGAATTTTCTGGGTCTGCTAAAAATGGCAGATCCATTTTTAGCCTTTGAGAAGTCTCCACACAACTTTCCATAGGGCCTGGACAGACCACATCCCCACCAACATGTAACCAGCACTTGTTGATTTTGGTCTTTTTTATATGGGCCATTGTCACAGGTGTCAGGTGGGGTCATTTGGTTTTGATTTGCATTTCCCTCATGATAAGTGGTGGGACATTTTTTCTTGTGTTTATTAGTCATCAGTCTTAATATGTGTGCCTAGTTGCTACAGGTAGGATTCCCCATACCATATTGAATAGTAGTGCTGAGTGTGGACAGCCTAGTCTTGTACCAGATCTGAGAGGAAGGCTTTTAGTTTTACTCCACTGAGAATGATACTTGCTATGAGATTGTTATATGTGGCTTTTCTTATATTGAGAATTGCCTATCTTGCTTCCCTGTCCATATTTGATTGTGTTGTTTTGTCTTTATAGAGTATGAGTTCTTTGTAGATCTTTGATATCAGTCCCTTTGCTGATGTATGGTGTGCCATATTTTCTTCCATTCAGTAGGGTGTCCATTTTAGTTATAGTCTCTTGCTTTACAGAAGCTTTTTAATTTGACATAGTCCCAGTTATTTTTCTTGCTCTCCTTGCTGCTGCGGGTGATCTCCAAAAATGTCTTGACACTTATGTCATAGGGTGTTATCCTTATTTTCTTCTGTGTATCTTATGGTTTCGGGGCTTGCATCCAGATCTCTTAATCGTCTTTAGTTGATTTTTGTATATGGTGTGAGATACTGATCTGGTTTCATTCTTCTGCATGTGGCTATTCACTTTTCACAACATTATTAAGGAGATGTGCCGTGTTTCAGGGAATGTTCCTCACTCTTGTGACAAATTAGCTGTTCATATATGTATGGCTTTATTTCTGGTCTCTCGATTTTCTTTCTTTTTTTTTTTTTTAAAGATTTACTTATGCATACAAGAACTGGGGTACAGACCCAAGGTACATGGAGTGAGAGGATTCACCAGAGATAGAGTGATAGAACAGGCAGATTGTCTAAAACACTGCCGAGGGGAGCAACAGGTGGGTCAGGAGAGGTCTGTCATGCCATTTGGGTCACCCCCCGGCCAGAATCAAATTTGTGCTTCAGTTGCTGTGGATCGCTTCATAGTGCTGCGCTTTAACCTGTTGTGCCACCAGGAAGGCCCTGGTCTCTCAGTTCTGTTGCATTGGCTGGTGTGTCTGTTTTTGTTCCAGCACCAAACTGTTTCAATTATTATGTCTTCATGGTATAGTTTTAAGTCTGGAAGTGTGGTATTGTCATTCTTACCCCCCACCTCTTTTTTTTTAATGTATTTATTGATTTATTTATGCATAAAGAACTGGGGATAGGTCAGAGGTACAAGATATGAAAGAATTCACAAGACTGGGGAGGAGAACAGGCAGATTGACTGAAATCCATTGCTGAGGGGAATAGCAGGCACATGAGAGGTCTGTTGCACCATATGTAGATCAGCTGGGGTTTGGGATTCCAAATCAGGCCACAGCTGTGATAGTCCTGAGATATTAACCCCTACTCCACTGGGGATGGCCCCTATTCCCACTTTTTCTTACACAGCTTTGGCTGATGGTATTTTGTGATTCCCTATGAATGTCAGTTGTTTATTCCATTTCTTTGAAGAATGCCCTGGAAAATTTTATTGAGATTATATTAAATCTATAAATTGCTTTGGGTGGGATGGTCACTTTAACAAAATTGTTTTTTTGTTCGTTTGTTTTGTTTTGTTTTGTTTTTAACAGTGTCTTACAGTTTTCTTTGTTTCTTTTTTGTTTGGTTGGTTTTTTAAAGGTTTATTTACTTAAACATACAGAACTGGGGTACAAGCCAGAGGTTCAGGCCCTTTACCTCCATTGTTTTACTAAGTATGTATGTATGTATGTATGGGTGTGATTGTAAATTGGGTAAGTTTTTTAATTTCTTCTCACTCATTCTTTGCCTATAAGAAAGTAAATGATTTTTTGTTTATTGATTTTGTAACCTGCCACTTTGCTAAACTGGTTTACTGTTTTCATAGTTTTCAGTG